GAGCCGGTAGCTATTCTAGACCGGCAGGTTCGTTAGTTGAGATCCAAGAGTTTCCCTTCTGTTCGTGTTTAGTGGAGAGGTCAGCATCCTGAGGCATCGACCTGGGAGTCCGAGTCCGATATGCGGAGCCGTTATCCTCATCTATTCCCCGACTCAGGTACTTCCTTCTTCTGTCCATTCGAGGATGGACGGTTGTTTTAGAGGTGGAGAATATGACTACCCAAAGGGTCATCACCTGTTTTCTTATCCATTATGTGCTTCCGAGGCCTTGAAAACCTCATTTAGAGTCACCTCGATTTGTGTGCGCAGTCCGGGCGCGTATTCGGAAAGCTTAAATATGGAATTTTGTGAAAAATGCTAAATTTTGATGTTAAAATGAATAAGTTTGACTTTGGTCAACATTTTGGGCAAATGGACCCGGACCCGTGATTTGACGGTCCCGAAGGGTCCGTAGTAAAATATGGGACGTGGGCATATGTCCGGAATCGAATTACGAGGTCCCAAGCCCGAGAAATGAATTTTTAAGAAAAATTATTTTCTGAAAATGTTTAAGGAGATTGAAATGAAATTTGATTAGAACGTGTTGGTATCGGGCCCGTATTTTGGTTTCGGCGCCCGTTACAAGTCTTATATATGATTTAAGATGTTTCTGTAAAGTTTGGTTAAAATCGGACGTCGTTTGACGTGTTTCGGACTTGAAATCTTAAATTTGAACTTGATGAAGTTTTTGGGAAAACTCTTGATTTTGAGGTTTGATTCATTGTTTTTAGGTTAGTTTGGCGATTTGATCGCATGTATAAGTTCGTATGATGTTTGTTGAGTTAGTGCATGTGTTTGGTTAGGAGCCCCGAGGGCTCGGGAGTGTTTCGGAGGTGTTTCGGAGTGGTTTTAGACTTGCAGAGAGTTATTGAATTGTTCCCTTGTCGGGATGTTTGTTGCTTTGTTGATTATCTCCCTTGCCGGGATGTTGAGCTTCATTGATATTGTTCTCTTGCCGGGATTTAGGTGTTTAATTGTATTCCCTTGCCGGGATTTCTACCATTATTTGTCTACTCCCTTTCCCCTTTGTTTGTGATTGTTGTTTGGGTGAGGACGAGAGTAAAAGCACGAAGGGTGATGTCGTGCACATTATTATGATACGATTGATTTGGTGAGAACGAGTGTAAAAGCACGAAGGGTGATACCGTGCACATTTTTATTATAAATATTGTTTGGGTGAGGACGAGAGTAAAAGCACGAAGGGTGATGTCGTGCAAATCGTTGAATTCTGATTCTTGTTGATATTCTGGCTTTGTTGTATCTTTCTTTTATTGAGGTTTTCTAATTGAAGTTGTTACCTCCCCACAACATGTTTCCCCTTCCCACATTGACTGATTATTTCCTGTATTTCTTTTCCGCCGTACATATAAATATTTGAACTGCACGGATTATTTGGTAGTCTGGTCCTAGCCTCGTCACTACTTCGCCGAGGTTAGGCTAGGCACTTGCCAGCACATGGGATCGGTTGTGCTGATACTACACCCTGTGCTCTTTTGCACAGATCCAGGTATTGGACAGCAGCAGTAGCGCAAGAGCCAGCCTTCAGTCCACCGAGACACCGAGGTAGCCTTGCAGGCGTCCGCAGGCCCGGCGTCTCCTCTATCTTATATTTCATTCTGTTATCTCATGTATTCGAGACAAAAAGTGTTATATTTCTTTCAAACGGTTGTATTTAGTACTCTTAGTAGTTCGTGAGTGATGTGACACCAGTTCTTGGGTAGAGGCATATGTTGAGTTTCGCATTATCGTTCAGCTTATTTTATTCCGTTGTTCTCATGTTATCACTGATAATTGTTAAAAGAAGTAATGTGTTAATGAAAAAGGTAGTTAAGGGTTGGCTTGCCTAGCTCTCATTAGTAGGCGCCATCACGATTCCCGAGGGTGGAAAAATCCGGGTCGTGACATATACACCCCACCAAACGACCCCTTATAGTTATCAATTCTATGCCATAGCTGGCTATTTAGTAAGAATTAACCAAAAACATCATATCAGGAGTTCCTGTGAGGCCAGGCATAATCTACCTGAAAATAAGATAAAAATGAATGCAAAACTTTGAAAGGTGAACGTTTTTTCGTCCACTTGTATGGAAGAATGAAGCGAGGAAGTCAATTGTCCCTTCTCCAGCTAATTAATCAAGATTCTTCCTCCATTGATCAAGAATTTCCATTTTATGGGAAGTATCATGATCCTCTAATAAGGGCTAGAGTTTCAACATTTTTTACACACACCAAACTCTTACACGAGGATGAGAATTAAATGCATCCTTGGATATAGTTCCGATTAAGTACTGTATAACTGGGACATGGTGCATATCTGCCAAGGGAAGCTGTCTCCTCCCAAGTTTTAATTCCCTTAGTCTCACCTTGTATACATCAAGGATCTTTCCAAGATTGTCTTTATTTTCTGCCACAGTTGCGTTGTCCTTCACCATGCCCAACAATGGCAGCTCGAAGCTCAGTTTGTAAGCTACAAGATCGAACTTTGTTGATTCAACATCCATCCACACTGACATGATGACCAATTTCTTTGGCTCCTGCCCTAACTGCTGATTTCCCTTTCTGCATACGTGTGGTCATTCTATTGGATAGGATCTGTGATGAGCCTACTTAAAGAGCATAGAAAGTCAGGACTAGAACTCCCACCAATCCAATGAGGCTCAAAATAAATTAAGTGATCCGATTACCTTCATACATTTAGCAGTAGTCTCGGGTAAAACTCGTGTCCAAAAAGGACAAAATAAACTTCTATATTATAATCTATAAGGCAAATAGAGGGGAAGGGAAAAGTACAACATTTATTTCTAAAAACCTTGTTATTACCTTGGTATAAAATGCGATCCAAGGACTAAATCTGAGAGAAATATGCACATAAAATGATAGACTCATCTTTCTCATTCACGCGTACCTCTTTCCTGCACCAGGAAAAATCACCCCGGGGAAAATATCACATAGCAATCTTTAAGCAATACAAAAAAGTTTAGTGAAACGTGCAGCTTTTACCAACATGGAGACATTGGCATACGCACATCCACAACAATGGTCTAAAGAATAATTTCCAAGGACAAAGCCAGAACTTATCTCCGGAGTAGGAGGGGCTAAAAGCAATCTAGCTATATCTGCTAATTTGTTTTGATTAAAGTATAGTTATTCCGCTACTACCAAAAGATGCTCTAGGCATTTCAACCATAACAGTTTAGCTTGGGTAGTAAAAGCTAGCCAGCTCACTCAAACCGGTACCAAAGAATTCCAGCCAAACAAAATAAACAAATATCGAAGAAAGAAGTATTAGAGCCGCTCCTACCAAGGCTGATGTATGCGGATGAAATTCCCTATTTCCAGCTCGACATCTTTACAGATTCTTGAGCTAAAAATGATAGTTAACTTCCTTCCTCCAGTACCCTTTCTTTTTTGAGGATTGCTCAGGCATTCAGTACCCTGCAAAGAAACCTAAAATTGTAGATAGCATTCACCCAACACCATAAATCTATTCTGTTTAACCAATGAAAACATCACCACCAGCCAGACTAGGAACAAACAGTAAATAAAATATTGGAACACACTTTTCATTCTTAAAAGTTCCCATACAATGAAATGACTAGCCAGATGGTAAAAAACTTATTTCTTTTCCTCCTAGACCTATGTGCTCGGGGATTGAGTACTGATTAGTGTTTGTCTGATTTTTAAGATTTCACATATTTAAACACAAAAAGTAAAACCTATATAATTCGATTTATTGAATCTGCATAGATAATCTTCCACTACAAATTATGTCCATGGATTGTAAGCGACCAGTGAAGCTCAAATAAACCATCTCAATCTTCATGCAGGTGCTATACCCAACAAGGCACCTTTTGGCTTTTTTTCCTTTACATGATGGTGGTGGCAAAAAGAAGCTGTCATGCTCTTTTGAAAATATACAGTAGACGTGAGTTGAGAGGAGCAGGGTGAGATGAGTATGTAAATATCTCAAGCTTGGACTCTGGAAAGTCAAGCTCAAGCCGTAAATACTACGAGGAATATATTTCTGAAAGAGTTTACAAGGAAGCCAACACACTAAATCACAATAAACACCATACTATTCCATGACTGCAATTCTTAAAAAAAATGAATATGCAATTCATTGAGAAATATAATTCCAGAAGCTTCCACTTATTAGACATTTCAAAGAACACTCACTTCCATATTTGTTTGTTGAATCTGCACGACCTGTTTCTTACAGTTCTTCGGAGGGTAACGGTCTAAAGAAAGTTAAGAAACCATGATAGTTCACTCAAAGCTCCTACCTAAAATGGAAGTTTTTGGTTCAGAAAGGAAGCATAAAAGTAAAATTCCCACACTCCATCATCCACTCTCCTATGCTACCTTACCTGACTTTCTATGCTAGGCAACAACCTGACTTTGACTTTTACAAGTTGCCTATTTACACGAGAAAGGTAAATGTCTTAGGTACCCTGTGAAAATTGGGCTATAATTAAAACAAGTACCAAACATTTTCTTCTTTAAAAACTAGTGAGAGCAAAAAAAAGCATGCCCATGACCTTCAAAAAGTTGAAAGGAGCATCTTATTCTCAATAAAGTAGACGTACACATATTCTTAACTTTCTGTTTAGCATACATACAATAGTTTGTCCAAGTACCTCTTCATCTCCATGTAAAGCACAAAAACAAACAGTCAGCTTGGCCTCCAAAGAACTTGACAAAATTCGCACATCAATGAAGCTTTTTGCACCTGCAATAACAGCAGAAGAGGTCAGAAACAAGCAAGAGGACAGAAGATATATAAGTTTGGCCTTTTACCACTTGAAGCATCATGTGTTTGTGACTTCTCCAAGAAATATGTATCTCTGTCCTTTTCACATTGCATTAGCTGCTGCAACTTTCCAGATAATCTGGCATAACATGTCAATGTAAGTGAGAAAAGATGACATTTGAAGATTTTTTTCGGTTTCATCTGTTCCTAGAAAACATGCATAATATGCTCATTACTGACACTTTCTAGTTCCATACTAACCCGAATTGCCTAGGCCTTGCAATAGACAGCCTCTCATTCGTAGATACAGCTCCTAATGCTAGATGAAATTGGTCAGCCATGGTCCTCTGAGGTATAGCAGGCTGCAGAATCTGGGGAATTTCCTGAAACCAAAAAAAAAAAAAAAAAAAAAAAAAAAAAAAACATTGAGAGAACTTCCTATGCAACTGATTGCTATGATAAAACAGTAAAAGATTAACTACGTATTACATCCTCGTCGGTAGATGAGTCACTATCTAGTGCCTCAGGTTGGTCGTCATTGCTCATGTTTCTGTCACCGAGCAGCAATAAGTTTCTCTTCTGTAAGAACCGTGATCCTTGTCTTTTTGTTTGCAGCTGCTGGTTAAAACATGATCTTTACATTCACGAAATAGTAAAATGGTAATACAGAAGTGCTACTAAGATCTTTAAGATAAGAGAGATGGAACAGAAGAAAGCAAACCATTCTAGAATTGCCTTGTGGTCGGGAACTTGTATGCTGAAAGTGATCCAGAAACTCGGCCATGGAATGCTCATTTGGATCATGTACAACTACTACTTCAGATGGCACCAAATGCTTCTGGAACTGTTGTATTTCATTTCCACCAAAATCCTCCTCGAACTGCTGTATGTCATTTCCACCAAAATCCTCCTCGAACTGCTGTATTTCTTTTCCACCAAAATCCTCCAATAAGTCATCCAGTGACTCTATATTATTTCTTTGCATGTCTAATTCTACATTTAGGGGAAGAACAGATAACGGTGTGCTGGTTTCACAAGTATCATGGACAACCAAAGCAAAATCCTTCTTCAGCGGCCGGGATTGGAACAAAAAATTGGGGTTAGATTTGCCCCGGCTTCCTGCAGTTGATTGCAAAAAAAATATTTTAAAAGTACAGCTTGAAAACCCAATGGATCACAGATCTCAAGTAAAGAAAAAGAGCCATCATAGATGTAAGACTTGGGGATTCAATGTTAAGATGCATCCATTTCTTTTCTATTTTGCTTGGAATCCATGAGCTCTTGTTCTTGAGAAGCACCACTACTACACATGTTATGCTAGTTAGTGACAGTCTAGTTCAAGACAACTAAACCAACTATGATTAATAATGCTTGATAAGACCAAACTTCTCATCAGTTGAGTTGACGACATCATTAGTATCAAGACAGAGGATGCAAAATAGGGAAATGAAGTTGCCAGAAGTACTAATACCTTTAGATGATTTGTTCAACTTTGATGAGGCACTGTACGACAATGAAGAACCAGCATCTTTATTCAAGAAAACTCCTGATTTGCATTCTGCACTAACTTTAGGCAATGTGCTTTTACCATCTCTTCTTAAATTTCCATCAGCAGAAGGCCTCATCTGCCAGATATTTTAACCTCAAAAAGAGCCAACTAGTATTTGTTGAACACAACATTAAGTAATCAAGTGTCAGTGACATTGATTTTGTAGGCATAGAGTTTTCAATCATACCTCATCATCAGACATAATTTCCTCTTCTGAATTAGAAGTAGGTGTTGTTCTAGAAACGTGACTAAATCTGTCATCTAAGCAGCAGGACAATGCCATCCAGTGGTCGTTTTTGTTGATGAAGTCACCACCCTGACTCTTAAAGGAAGGAACTTCAACGTCATCTTCTTTGCATAAGCCTGTTTGCTTCTGCTAACAGGAAAGCAAACAGAACTGTAAGAGGAGTTGGTCATTTGGACCTTTTATTGTTCATCACTTTTGCGTATCTCCACTTGGTAACTGATCCCTTTTGCGGATGGGATACACATTGTGACAGTACAAGCCTCCAGCCTCAGTTACTAAAGTTTGTCCCTTAAACTAGATGATTCCAGAAGAACAGGAGGAGAAGTGGAGAACAACTTTTTTCTGAACTCCCCACCAAAAAGTATTTCCATGTTGAATTCTCAACCACCATGAACCATTAACGCCGATTAGGAAATAACTCTTTAACATAAATTTAACCCAAAAAAAAAGGAAAAGAAAAAGGACCAAAGGAACAATAGAAGGAAGAAATGAAGGTAAAGAGAGCAAAAGGGAGGTAAATTCAACCAATACCAGCTGATGAGAATTCAATGTGTGGGCTGAGTGATGAAGTCTTTTAACATCTGCACAAGATTAACATGGATAACTTTCAAACACCCTTTTCTTTTCTTTTTTCTTTTTTCTTTTGGGAGGGTGATGGGTGGGGT